GAATGTCTACATCTGAAGATCGTGATACTATCAAAGATTGAAATATTTTGATGAAGTAAAAGCAACATGAACTCAAGGGACAAGGTTAACTAACAAGGCATTTCAAACTTTAAAAGTCCAAGTCTTCAACAAGGTCTTCTCTTATTAGATATAAATGCACATGAACATGTCTGTGGATTCTTCCTAAACAAGTGTAAGGCTAAATGCCATGACTACAAAGAGTATGACACTACACACTATACCTAGAATTCACTAAACTTGTAGCCAGGAAGTGATATGAATCTTTCTAACCCTCTGAACAAGTGAGTTAGTTACATTAAGTTACCTAGCATGTTAAGACACACAGAAATATCTCTTCAATCTCAGTTCACATTAGATGTATTCAGTCTGATTTAATGCTGACCCTATGAAGGTGACTTGATAGGTCCACAAATTTAAAAGAGAATTCAGAGTTCATTAGGATGATTCTGTCCTCACGCATGCTATTTATGGAAAAATTTGAGTATCAAACTGTCACTTTTTAGGGTAAGTTACTTAACCTAAGACTCAATACCTATATCCATGTGTGGATATGATAAAAGTACACATTTAACAATGCTATTATGTGGATTATAAAAGACGATGCATTCATTTCATAGCAGAGTATGTGGTATGTACTAAGCAAATAAACATTCACTTTATCTACTTTTCTCAGTGTTTAGAAACTAAGCCATCCAAATTGGGTTTTGAGTTTAAGATGTAAGGTTCTATTATTGTCCCAAGTAAAGACTCATGAATTGCTATTACACAAGAGGGAACTACTTTTGCCTCTGAAAGTAGGCAGGACATCCAAATAAATGTGTCTCCTTGCTGCTATGGCTTAGCAAGAATTAGGATACTATAGAATAAATGGTCATGCTACTACACTGGTGAGAAGAGATTAAAGGCAAACAGAGCCTCTGTGGATAATAAAAGAAAATACAAACATAGTCATTCATGTAAAAACTGTTACCAAGCCAGGTGTGGTTGTGCACGCCTGTATCCCAGCATTGGAGCAGCTGAGGCATGAGTATCACAAGTTACAGGCCAGCCTGGACTACATAATGATCCTATTTCAAAGAAACAACAACAATCGCAGCAACAACAAAACCAGAGACAGATGGAATTAAATCTGAGTTCCGCCACTTAGTAGCCATACAACCTCTGGCAAAATTACTCAAGTTCTCTGTGTCCATTTCTCTGTATATAAGACAACAAGTAACAGCAATGCCTTCTTTGTAAGGCTGATGATAAGAATAAATAAATTAGCAAGTATAAGCATTTAGAAGAGTACTTGGAATATAGTTGCATTTGCCTAAGTGTTAACAGGTATAGTTATTAAAGAATAATCTTCCCCAGAAAAGGGAAAAAATCTGAGAGTAAGCCTGTGCCTTCGGGCGACCACCTTTGTTGACAGTTTGCCTTTGGTTTCAGAGTTCTGATTCTCTCTCTTGGTATCTATCAGTTCTTGGAAGTAAGGGAAACTCAATTAAGTTCAGAATGATACTGAAATAGACTTTTAGATATTTTCAGAACCAGAATATCACAAATCCACTCTGGGTTTTTAATACAATCTATGTTTTTTGCATATTCTTATATAAGTAATTTGCCTATAGCTATAGTTTCCCATAATATTAAAATTTAAGAAATTAACTTTTAAACCACTTAAAATGAAATACTAGTGCCATGTGAGAAACAACTACAAAAATAACTTTCACATAAACATAAAGATATCAGGGATGTGTATGTGTAGCAATGTATGTCCATGTATACCCAGGGTCAGCAAAACAGCAAAACTTTTGTACGGCCTACAAATTAACATTTCTACATTTTTAAATATTTGAGGGGAAAAACACACACAAAAAATACTTCATTACACATGAAATTAGATAAATTTCATGTGGCCTCCCTGAATCCAGCAAAGCAGAACTGAATACTTCTGACAGAGACTGTATGACCTATAAACCTAAAATATTTATTTTCTGGTCACATAACAGAAAAAGTTTGCCTTACTTTGTGTCTACAATATTCTGTGTCACCATGAAAGAAAGCAAGTTAATCTCTTAGATGTAATTCTCCAAATGTGGACAGTATTTAACTATAATAATCTTCACCTTTAGATTTCATATGAGAGATCTTCCCTCAAAGCTGGTGACTTTTAGAATGGACGTCATTTCTGAAGGGAAACTAACTCTTCTAATGCTTTGTAGTACAAAGTTCTCAAGAGGTCACATGACAACCTGCCTGAAAATCTGAACCCATTCTAAGTTGCTTCTTGTTAAGAATTTGGCCCTGTCTATAAAATCTTATGTAGTCACTACTGAAAACAAATGTGAACAATAAGGAAGAAAAGGAAATAGAATTGGCCAAACATTTCTTGCATTCTAGACACATATTATTTCTTTGAGCTCTTCATGAAGAAGGAATGACTATTCTTATTTTACTGAAATAAGAAGAAAGGTCAAATGAAGAAAAGCAACTTGCTAAAGACAATATAGTAAATAAGTGGCAGAACTTGATGAGTAAATGAAGTATGGTAATACAGAGCCTCAATTATTTCTTCAATCAAAATATTTGATCTTTCAAAATATTTTGATCATGGCCCATGAGAAGAATTACGGTTTACTTCAAGATCTAGTAAACAAATATATAAATGGAAGGCAAGTTTCATGAGCCAATACCCTTAAACGTACAGTGCACTGTATAATTTCCCAGTCTACTCTATTAGTTAAGAGCTGATGATCACAACCAACAAAATTGGTTTTACAACCCACTAGTGAGTCATCATCTCCTAATTCTAATGCCTTCACCAAGCTCAATATTAATGGGGAGATATATATTGAATAAATAATTTCATTATTAATGACATATAAGTTGTATAAAGGAAAAGTATTGCATGCCTTCAGATTATACTACTGGAATAACTAATATAGACAAATAAGGTTAGTATATCCTTAAGGTAATAACATTTATGCTGAGTTATCATGAATGATGGGGAAGCTTTCCTTCCTAAAATGATTTCTAGGCAAAGGAAAGAATCAATACATGGGCTCTGAGGGGATCATCTGTAAAATTTGGTCAGTTTGCCAAAAGGAACAGATAGAACACATTATGTTGGTCCCAGCAACAGAAGACACATGCTAGGAATAGTAGAAAAAAAAATGAGAGTTGCTTAGCATACTTTGTAGAGGGGGATTCTGCTCTAGGTGGGGAAGGGTCACGTGGTAGTACTCATTTTCAACATTACAGTCTAGGGAGATATTTCAGGAAAAGAGATGGGGACTGAAAGAAACTACATTTACTAAACTTCTTATCCCACCAGAAAAAAAAAGAAACCAAGAAACTGAAAGAGACTCTTACAAGAGAGTGAGCCTACTGATCTATTTAACAGTATCTCCAGATACCTACAAAAGAACAAAGCACTTTTTAAAAATTTCATCCCTAATCATATGAAAGAAAAAACACTGCTTCCATCTTGAAGAAACCTAGAATGCATGTGCATCAACACTACACAGGAGATCAAACAAGAACCGAAGAGCACTGAGGAAAAAGATCTTTGGGGACTGTCGCCTTCGCTGTCAACCAGACTGTCGCCTTTGTTGTTAAAATGAATAGATAAGTATTCAGAAGCACCATTACTTTAAATGTTTAAGCAATATATTTTATACTTCTTTCCTAGTTTGCTTCCTTTTTCTAATAAGTCCTTTACTGTAGGACAAATAGGACAAAAATCAATTGTTGGCAAGGGTTTTCCTTAAAAAAAAAAGTTTTTTCCACCATTTATAGATTATTATGTACCAAGCAATTTGTGAAATGTTTTGCGCACATGCACATCTCACTTAAGTCATCACAACTGCTGTCTGATCTGTTACACATCTATGTTACAAGTGAGGGAACTGAAGCACGGAGATGTCAAATAATTCTGGGCCAAAGGTCACATAAAGAGGGATGCTGCTGTTCATTCACACCACTGTCTGAACACAGTGCACCTGTGAGATCTCAGCAGAAGACCAGAGAGAACGAAGGAAAAAATAACAACACTTATGTTTTTCAGCCTAATGTCTTTACACAGAAGTAAAAGGGCAGAGTTCAATTAGAAGGGAGAACAGATAAAAAGAGAAATGGGAGTGCTCTAATATATCAATGTTTATAAATGTGTATAGTAAAAAAATTCCAGTGGTTCAAAACCTTAGTAGCATCAGAATCACCCGTAGGTCTAGTTAAAACACATTGCTGGGGCCATCCGGAGAGCTTCTGATACAGTGGTGGAGGTAGTGACAGGGTGGAATCTGAGAATTTGCATTTCTAATGAGTTCTCACCTAATGCTAAGATCCAGCAACTACAATTTGAAAACCACTGCACTATATTACATAAATTCACTCTTATACACCTATAGTAAATAAAATCATGTACTTCCCTAGGAACTAGAACATAAATAAAAACCTCCTTTGAAGGCTGAAAATACGTAAAATTTTCAAAGAAATATTTGATAAGATTTTTCCTTTACATTTATAAATATAACATTTGAAATATACAAATATATATATTTAAATTATAAATTACACCTAATTCTCACATGTAATTCATACAGTAACAACCAATTAATTTTTGAATATAGTAACTTTCATAACATATATAGCACAGTTAGGTTCGATTTTAATATGTTCTTCATTGCTTATTCCACAGCTCCCATTAGTGAATAAACTTGTTTCCAAAAATGCATCTAACAATGTAAGAAGGTTGATAAGAAAAATAATTGAAACTTTCCTAGATACACAGTACAACTACTAAAAAGAAAGAACACAAAGCATTTTATCCTAAATTTACCAATTTCAGTTACTTTATTATGTGAAGAAAACAAAAAACGTTAGACTGGGCTAGGCAGACCGCTCTAAAATAGGTTTTCAGAAATAATGAAATAGTCTTCCACATTACACAGGTTATTCATACAATGAATACTGGCAATGAAGTAAAATCTTACCCAGATCTAGTCGTTTTGAATTCCACCTTGAGGATAGGTTTGCATGGTTCTGGCTTCTTTCCATCCTTTAACTGTTTTCCTAGAACATATTTTCCTGCATTAAATTCTGTAATTCTGAATTACTCTAATACCTTAATAATTCCAAAAGGGAAGTGAAATATAATGAAATACACCATGAAACATTTTAGTGTGATTCTGAAAATGTCTAACACAAAGTAGGATAATTTTAAATGATTGAGCAAATTACTGTGAAATTCACTGCTGAAAGGCAAACAAAATGAATAATTTAAAAACAATATTTATGTGATAAAAATCTAGTAACAGAAAATGATGATCTTTTCAATGTCCTTAATTACATACAAACAAAATATAATTTCAATTTGCTAAGTGAATACAAGTTTTCAAACGGCAAGATTTGGGTAAAATAAATCTACGTCACATTTTCACCCAAAATGTGAAAGGCTACAAAATTAAATTTTATGTTAATAACTTCATTTTTATTTATTCACGTAAAGTAAAACCCATTCATCAATTCTAAAAGACTGCTAAAATAAACAATTCTATAAAATGTATCTGAAACTCTTTTTACAAAAAATTTTAATTTTTAAAAGAAGTATGAGATTTTCATTATCAATTTCTGGATGCTCCTTGTAGAAACCATAGAAAACTAAAAAAAAAGTCTATTTTCCTTTTTTTTTTTTTTTTTTTTGGTTTTTCTCTGGTACCAGGAACCGAACTCACGACCTTGCGCTTGCCAGGCAGGCGCTTTGTCGCTGAGCTAAATCCCCAGCCCTATTTTCCATTTTTAAAGACATTAATTACTCTCAAGATTTTTTTTCCAGCAAGTACCAAATTTAAGGATGGCCTTAAGAGTCCCAAGAAATACACTTCTACCCAAAACATCTTATCCCCTTTCACACCTTTGGGTTTTTTGTTTTTCTGTTTTCTCCACAGAACTTACTACATTTGAAAAAATTCTCTATTTAGTCCTTTGTTTCTTGGTTGGCTACAGAACAAGAATGTAAAAACTCCAGGAAACAAGTTGTTTTGGGTGTATGTGTGTGAGTGTGTGTGTATGGGGGGGGTGTGGTGTGTGTGGGGGGGTGAGTGTGTGTCCGTGTGTGTGTGTTCTGCTGATCCTCTAGTGGCTAACATAGTTTGATATATTGTGGGTCTCAATAATCATTTAATTAGTGAATAAATTAGTGACTATTTCCACGAGATAAAGTCCCAGAAAAAGGATAACTAAGTAAACCTCAATTTCAGAAAGACTGGTGATTTAAATTTCTTCTTCTTCTTTTTTTTTTGGTCCCAGGAATCGAACTTATAACCTCTCACTTGCCAGGCAGGCACTATGCCACTGAGCTTTATCCCCAGCCCAACCAATTTAAATTTCTACCAGCAGTCTAGGAGAATTTTTTTTTTTTTTTTTTTTTTTTTGGTTTTTCTCCGGTACCAGGAACCAAACTCACGACCTTGCGCTTGCCAGGCAGGCGCTTTGCCACTGAGCTAAATCCCCAGCCCCTAGGAGAATATTTTGCCAATGGACAACTCACCAGGAAGACCATTTTGAACATATATGTATCTAATATCAGAACATCAAAAAATGGCATAAAATGGATAAAAATAAGATGAAAATAGACATCTCAACAATGAAAGCTGGAGACATTAACACTCCATTTACAATAGTGTACAGAATAAACGAATAGAAGATCAACAGGGAAATAGAAGATGGGAGTGATTTAAACTATCAAGACCTAACAACATTACAGAATATGCCACCTAACAAAGACAGAATATATATTCTCCCAAGTACACATAAAATGTTTTCAGGTCAGATCATATACAAGGTAAATCTCAATAATAAAATGTAAGGAATAAATATATACTAAGTTTTCCTACCTAAACACAATGAAATTAGAAATCACTAGCAGAGACAAAAATGGAAATACTAAAAAATATGTGGAAATTAACACACTATTAAATACCCAGTGGGTTAAAGGTAAAAATCAAAGAAATAAGGTACTTTGAGATGAAAGAACAAAACTGACAAACCTGTAGTCACAGTGACTAAGAAAAGTGAGAAGACTCAGATTATAGAATCAAGAAAAGAAGGAATCTACGAAAACATATGCCAACTGATGAGATACTGGAGAGAAAATGAGCAAGTTCCTAGAAAGGCACAATTTAGTAAAAGTAACCAGAAAGAATCTGAATAGACCAACAAGTGAAGCAATCATAGAATTTTTAAAAAACTACACGAAAGGAAGAACCCAGACTCTGATGCTTTCACAGGTGAATTATGAAGGATACAGTCTCTCTGGAAAGCACTGTGCAGACATTCATTAGAAATATAAATAAACCTGCTTCGAAGTTTTTACATACCTAAAAGATTTTTCCACAGAAACAAAAGAATCAGTTCCTCAGGAGTTTGTAAAACAATGGTACCTGCAGCATTGAAAATGGATTTCAGAAGACTTGGAGGGATTTTTTAGAAAAGCAACACGCCAAAAAGACTAATGGTAATTTGGGTAAAAGAATGACCCCCAAAACAATCTCATGTCTCTACATGTTTATGCACTAATGTACATAGTTTCTCAAATATATATATATACACATATACATATGCGTATACATATATACATATGTGTATATATATATGGAAGAATGTAAGTATTTGCCATAGCTTATGTGATGGAACAGGAATGGGGCTGGGTTGCTAATGTGGAGGAAAGCTGAGGGAAAAGGGACTGGAATGTATGACCTCATTTATGTATCATGACAGATGTATATGTATTAAAAAAACTATCAGCAAATTATCAAGAAAATTATACACCACGACCAAGTTGGATTCATTCCAGGAATGCAAGGTTGGTTCAATATTCGCAAATCTATAAATGTTATATGCCATATCAATGGAGCCAAAGACCAAAACCACATGATCATCTCAATAGATGCAGAAAAAGCTTTCGACAAGGTCCAACATGCATTTATGATAA